ATGGTTATGTATATTTAACATGATCATTTCTTGAAAAAGCAGCTAATTATTTCATGGAGAAAACAAATCAAAATGGCAAATGCCTACTCAATATAAATGTCTTCTATGTGGACCCACTTCCTTGGTCCCCTCTCCAGAAGCAACAACTACTGTTACCTCTTGGTGAGCTCATCTTGACTCATGTAACTGTTACAGGTTGGATATGTCTCCCCCAAACTTAGAACTTGGGGTACTACTAACATTTAGTACCACACGGCGGGGGACCTTATTTGGAAACAAGATCTCTACAGAGGTGATCGAGTTAAAATGAGGTGATTAGGATGGTTCTAATCTCGTGTAACTAGTGCCCTTAGATAGAGGGCAAGGTGGACACTTACAAGTCTAAACAAGGAGAACACGGTGAGAAGATGGAAACAGAGATGGGCAGCACATCATGAGAAGACAGAACCAGGGGACAGCAAGTGACCAACTAAATGGCTGCCCTGGCAAACAAGGACAGTAAGGGCACCTGTGTCCCTGCAACCCTTACACTTGTATGGCAGCATACGTTACACAGTCCATCCTTAGACTACTTCTGTGTAATGGTGTATCTTGGAGATTCTTCCATGGTTATTCTCCACTAGCCTGTCTCTGGTCCACTGTCCCACTCCTCCACCTGCCCTGTACCCCACCTGCATGCCCCTGTCCTTTGTCATCCATCCTCCAGCTTCTGGGTGGGTCAGCCATTAGGAGGCTGCAGTGGGAAGTGGAGGTGGAGGGGAAAAAAATGGAATATGGACATGGTATTTATCCCTGTCACCCTTCTGTGTGAGGACTGAACTTGGGTCCTCTGCAAGAGCAATACATGTCTTACCCATCTCTCCAGCCCCTGTCTCACCTGCTTAGATATATCCCTTAGCACCGCCCACACACACACTCTGTATTTCTTTTCTGTAGCTACACAAGAAATGATCCCAACAAAAAGCCACTCTCTCATAGCCAGAGGTTAGAGTCTAAGGTTTGGGCAGGGCCACACCCCCTCTCAAGGCTCTAGGGGCAGATTCCACCCACCTGGTCCAACTTCTGGAGGCTGAAGGTGCTTGGTTTGGATGCCATTACTCCTACCTTTGCCTCCACACAGCTTCTCCTGTGTGTGTCTTCTAGAAGGACACATCATTAGATCTAGGTGAACCCAGACCATCCAGGCTAATCCCACTTTTCAATACTTCATTAGGCCGCCAAGGACCCTTTCTCACAGATTCCCAGGGTCAGGGCAGGGACGTCTTTCTGGGGTGAAGCATCATCGCTCGGCCACACTGCCCACACTTCTAGATAATCTCTCTTCAGGCTGTCTTCAGTGCGGTGTCGTGGAATACCACACCTGGTTTCTGCTAACTGTGCTGGTTTCCTTGGAGACCATTCACAACCACCTGGCTCTGTTCACAAACCATACAGACTCCGGGAATCTGCAGGTCTCCATTAGCAATTAGCATTCAATAAACAGCTGTTACTGCCTCCACCTGGTGCCTGGTGGGGTGCTTTGGCAAGATGGGTCTGATGAGGCCTCTTTAGAAGCATAACATGGAAAATAGCGGGCTGCCTGTCTATAACTGAGACTCAGCCAGGTATGACCCTGGCAGAGATGTTTGTTTTTATTCATGAATATGTGTGACTGTTTACATGTGAGTGCATGTGTATGGGTGCACATGTGTGTGCAGGTATGTGCATGTGGAGACCAGAAGAGAACTTCAGGTTCCATCCTTAGAAACACTGTTGACCTCCTTTGAGACAGGGGCTCTCAGTTGACTTGGAGCTCACCAGTTACTCTAGATTGACTAGCCAAAGAGCCTCAGGGATCTGCCTGTTCTGCCTTTGGCCTCTGTCAGTGCTGGGATAATAAACACAAATTCCATGCGCAGAATTAGTATGTGGGTTCTGGGTATTGAACTGGGGTCCTCAAACTTTCAAGGCAGGCACTTTACCAACTGAGCCATCTCCCCAGGCCCCTGGCAGTGGTTTCTGCTGGCTTATGCTATGAAGGACACATGTACTCCGGTGTCTGGGGCTCACTGAGGAAGATGTTGGTTCAAGGGTACTGTGCTTGAACTGGTCTTGGAGAACAGGGGCAGATTCAGAGACAGAAATGGCTCCATCAGCTGACAAGGAGACAGGAATCAAAGCTGCACTAACAGCCACTGGAGGCTTAGTTTTTATCAACGATACAAACTTAGACATACTTGGGAAGAGGGAGCCTCAATAGAGAATTTACTTCCATCAGATTGGCTTGCAGCCATGTCCGAGAGGCATTTTCTTAATTGCTAATTGATGTGGGAGGGCCCAGCCTACTGTAGGCAGTGCCATCCCTGGGCAAGTGAGCCTGAGCTGTAAAAGAAAGGTAGCTGAGCAAGTCAGGGGCAGGGGGGCAAGCCAGTGAGCAGCATTCCTTCCTGGTCTCTGCTCTGATTCCTGCCTTGACTTCCTATCCCTGACTTCCCTCACTGATGGACTGTAACCTATAAGCCAAATAAACCCTTTCCTCCCTGAAGATGCTGTTGGTGGGTGTTTAATCACAGCAACAGAGAAGCAGACAGCTGTAATTTGAAAAGAACTAACGGAAGCGTTAGGCTGAGGGGACCTGGGATTTTCATGCAGTACACTCAGAAATGTAACTGGTGTGGAAAACCGTTCAGTAGTTCATCCAGAAGTTAATGTATTAGTTACTTTTCTTCTGCTGTGATAAAACACCATGACCAAGGGAACTTAGGAAGAGTTTATTTGAGCTTATGGTTCCAGAGGGATTAGAGTCTGTCATGGTGGGGAGGCATGGTGAAGTGGCTGGAGCAGAAGCAGCACTTAAATCTTCAAGCAGGCACAGGAAGCAGAGAGAGAAACTGGAAATCTGGCAAGGCTTAAGAATTCTCTGAGCCCTACCCCCAGCGATGTGCTTCCTCCAGCATGGCCACACCTTCGAAGACCTCCCAAAACAGCGCCACCAACTGGGGACAAAATGTCCAAATACTTGGAGCCTATAGGGGACATTCTCATTCAAACCACCACAGTGAACATAGGACCTGTGAGTCTCACTCCCAGGACTGTGACCGCAAGTAACGAAACACATGTCCACGTGAAACATGTGCACACGTGTTCATAAGAACATTACTCAGAACAGTCACAGAGTGGAAGCAACACAAACACCTGCTGACTGAAGAACAGATCCAGGAAACGTTCCGCTGTTTAATACTATTCAGACAAAGAGAATGAAAACTGATTCCTGAGAGAACCTGAATGAATCTTGAAACATGATGAGGAGTGGAGTGGAAGTCAGTCACAAAGTCAGCTACAGGTGTGATTCTGTTCACATGAAGAGTCCAGAATAGGTCAGTCCAGGTAGACTGGAGGTTGCCAGGCACAGGGGGAGAGGACCCAGGAGTGACATGCGAGGATGCAGACTTTCTTTAGGAGGGGATGAAAATATTCTAAGGCTGACTGTGAGAGGGTTGCAAAACTCTGAAAATACACTAAAGTTCATCAAAGTGTACTTATAATTTTTATTACATTAATATTCATTTAGTGTGTGTGTGAGGGGGGTGCTCACTATGCCATGCACGTGGAGATCAGAGGACAACTTTCAGGAGTCCATTCTCTTCTTCCTCTGTGTGGGTCCCAGGGATCGAATTCAGGTCATCAGGTTTGGTAACAAGCACCATTACCTGCTAAGCCATCTCGCCAGCCTGCTTTGTACACTTTAAATGGGTGACTTGTGTGATGTGTGATTTCTACCTCAATGAACCTACTAACAGTAACAGCAGGGAAGTATGGGGATGACAGGCAAAGGGTCTTTTAGATGAAGAAAATTGCAAAAGCTCTGGGCAGACTTCAGTGAGGCCAAGGCATTGTGGAAACAATAAAGAAATGTGGTCTTTCTTGAGAGAAAATGAGGTTTCCATTTGAAACCTCCCCCTCTAACAGTGGATCCAGGAAAGGCTGCCAAAAGTATTTCAATGATATCTTAAGATGTTGTTCAATGTTACATGCATTGTTAGGCCTAGGATAATACAGAATTACCCCCAGTTTACAGGACAAAGCCCACAGAGGTTAGTCTGGTCAAGAACTCAGCCACCAGGTTAGCAGGTGAGGGTTAAAAACTCAGCAAAACCCCGGGTAATGCCTGTGGGGCTGTTGGTACACACACATTGTGGGTTACTGCACCCCCCAGTTCAAGTATCTGCCTTTCTACTTAGAAGCTACACCACTCTGAGCAAGTTGCTTCACTCATCTGGTCCTCAGTTTACCTGCCTGTAAAATAGGGCTGTTTATCGCTAATATTTACATTCTATAAAAATATACATGTGGCATATTCAGTCATTGATTCAGTGCCTTGGCAGCTTTTCTTAGCCTCAGTTCCCCATCCCCAAAAGGAAGCGAGAGATGGAGAGGTGACTCAACTGGTAAAGGTGCTTGCCGCCAAGCCACAGGACCCGAGTTCGATCCTAGGTCCCACATGGTGGAAAGACAGAACTGATTCTTGAAAATTGTCCTCTGACCTCCTCATGTGTGATCACACACACACACAATGAGTGAATGAATGAATGAATGAATGATAGATAGATAGATAGATGTTAAAATTTTTTAAAGGAATCAATAATCTCTACTACTCTCTCATAGATAGATAGATAGATAGATAGATAGATAGATAGATAGATAGATAGATAGATAGATAGATAGATAGATAGATGTTAAAATTTTTTAAAGGAATCAATAATCTCTACTACTCTCTCATCCGCAGAGCTCTCTTGGGACTCAACAGTAAAACAGCGAAGGGCCCAGAAAACGTGCCCCACGGCCATGGCACAGGTTCAGCAGACTGGTGCCCCTTGCCGGCCTAGCTGGGCATTGGCGTCTCCAGAAAACGCACTGCGCCCGCCCGCGCAGACTGCAAGGCTCAGGCCTCCCCTTCCCTTTTGGAGACTTCCCTGAGAGGCTCTGGTTAGGCCTCGCCCACTTCCGGGAGGGGCCCGGAGCGGGCGGAGTCACGTGACTCTCTAAAGATGGCGGCGCCCAGGGTGGCGGCGTGAAAGTTGTGCGAAGTCCGTGTACCGTGGCGCGGGAGTAGGAGCAGAGGGACCTCGGCGCCATGTCGCGACTGATCGTGAAGAACCTCCCGAACGGGGTAAGCAGGGGCGGGCCCGGGGATCTGGAAGCGGGGCCGGGCCCGGGAAGGAAAGCCGACGGAAGGGGATTCTAACTCGGGCGGACTCGGGAGCCGGAACCTAGAGGGGCGGGAACCTGTCCTGATCGCTGGAACCAGGAAAAGTGGCTGCTCTTGTTACTACAACTGCCACTATTGTTGGTTATTGCCACCTGGTGGGTACCAGACCGGATGTCCGTGCTCCCGGGGAGATGCCACCCCCCAACCCCGTGCCGAGAGCCCTGTTGCCACGGTCCCTGGCTCATCACGTTTGTGGTTGGTTAGTGATTGATCAACGCTGTTCTGTTTCTTTTCCACTCCGGAAACTTTGGGGGGAAACGCGTGGGGACATGAGTCTGAGGACCTGGGTTCTACTTCAGTTGTTTGTTTAGGAGAGGTAGGAAAGCTGAGCGATGGGTTTAAACCATTTCTCCATAAAGTGGAGGTGGGACCCAGCCATGAACACAGAACCTGGCACTCTGTTGGCATTCCGTAACCACGTGCGGGTTAGGGAAGATATGCATGCTTGTGTGTAGTCATAGGTGACTGGACTCAGAGCACTCCAGGGACACATTCTTACTACATCACTGTCTCTATTCCTGAATGGCACACTTGTTTCAGAACCAAGTGTGATTGAGCACACCTGTCACCAGCAGAAATACTGTGAGTTGGAGGCCAGCCTGGGTTACATAGCAAGAGGATGTCTCAAAAAAAAAAAAAAAAAAATCGGCAGGCTTAGTGACTTGGGATTTTAATCCCAGCACACAAGAGGCAGAGGCATGCAGAGCTCTGAGATCAAGGCCAGCCTGGTCTACATAATGAGTTCCTGGCCAGCTGGGGTTACAGGGAGACCCTGTCTCAAAAAGAAAAGAAGAAAAAATTATATTTGTTTTGGTTGTTGGTGGGGCCATCACCATACATACAAATCCTGGTCTAGAAAACTCAGTGGTGAGGGTTAACTTGGCAGGTGTTAGGTGGGAAGCTAGGAGTCTGGGACTTCTTATCTGCAGTGTGGGACTTCTTATCATGAGCATGTGTTTATTTCCTGTTATTAGTAACAGGGTAGTTTAAACAATACCATTTGGATGATGGTTTTGAACACTTGTTGGACCACATTACTGCTATCTTGGTATGCCTGACTTGTAGGTTGGACACACCTGCTAGGGGATCTGTTTCTTCACCTTCTTCAATGTCTACTGGCCTCTCTGACTCATGACCGCTTCTGGCAGCTTCAGTCTTCAAAGGCCACCTCATACGGACTTCTGATTTCCCTCCCTGGCTGCTTCCCTCTTGGAGTGTGTCTCAGATTCTTACCTCCCTTTTATGAAACCCTAATGGTATTAAACCACCTGTATTACCCAGAATCCGCCCCTCCCACAGTTTGGGTTCCTAGTTTTGGTTTGGTGGCTTTCAGGTAGTCTCGTTTTGCAGTCCAGGCTGGCCTTGAATTCACCATTCTCCTACCTTTGTCCCCTCAGTGCTGGGATTCTAGGCATGTGCACCACCACACCCCGCTTCATCTAGGCATGTGCACCACCACACCACACTTTATCTCATCATCTCAGCATTCTTTTTTTGAGGCAGGGTCTCCCTGTAGCAGCTCACTGTGTAGACTAGGCTGGCCTGGATCTGCCTGCCTCCCCCAAGTGCTGAGATTAAAGGTGTGTGCCACCACGCCTGGCTCCATCACAGGATTTATAGTCACATCTGAAAGCTCCCTTATGCTGTAGCTGAGGATGGTAGATCACTCCTGTCAGGGCTAGGAAGGGCAGGCAGGAGGATCTCCAGATCTAGTCCAGCCAGGACTACGTAATTCCTTTTGCAGTATATTATAATCCTGGGATATGGGCATCTTCAGTGGGTGCCGTTCATCTCTCCCATAATTAGCAAAGGTTTACATAGCTACCCATTCACTCATTTATTCTGACCAGCGTTGGTTAGTTATCTGACATGTCACAAGCAGATGCTGTCATTGGTCCTGTCAACACAGAGGAGCCACAGGGTAGGAGGGGAGACTTTAAAGTCCCCCAGAGTCTCATTTCTTCAATGAATAGAGTAGGCTTGCTCAAGGCCACTCAGCTGGTTGTTAGGCTCACCACTGGGACCTGCCCTTGCTTGAAAAGCAGACATCGCCACCCTCAGAATGTCTGGACCTCTCGGTTTCCAGCACATTTGTCCCTTCTCTCTGGGGACCCCAGGTTCCTCCCTCACTGCACCTTCTGCCCTAGATGAAGGAGGAACGGTTCCGGCAGCTGTTTGCTGCCTTCGGTACACTGACCGACTGCAGCCTGAAGTTCACCAAAGATGGCAAGTTCCGAAAGTTTGGCTTCATAGGCTTCAAGTCCGAGGAAGAGGCCCAGACGGCACTGAGCCATTTCAACCGGAGCTTTATTGACACGTCCCGAATCACAGTAAGTCTGGCAGACTGTCTCACTCCGTGTGTGCCTTTTTCTCAGCACTCTGGTCTCAGAGTTGTCCTCTTTTTAGCCTCTGATGTTTTGTCCTACCTCAGGGGTGTACAAGCTTTCAAGTGCAGGACACTTACCTGACAGCCCGTTAACTGTTTCCTGGGTCCTCCAGAGTTTCTGATGTGTAGATATGTCCAGCAAGCCCAGACTGCTTGCCTGCAGACTACCCTTTGAGAAGCACAGGCACACATCATTTGTTTCACCCAAAAGCCAACACTTAGGAAGCTTCTACTCCGTGTCAGGAGTCTGCAGAAATGACCACATCCCCACCTCTGTCCTCACAGAGCCAACTGCCTACTGTGTTCAGCGTCAGCAGTGCCGTAATGGGGCACGGGGGTTCTGAGGGAGTAGAGGATGGGCCTACCCTGCCCAGGAGGGAATCTCAAGGCTTCTACCCTGGCAGGAGGCAGTCTTGCTCAGGCTGCCTGTGCATTAATAATGTGATAAAGCAACGGTGCTTTTTTGAGACAGAAAAGGAAAAAAAAAAGACCCAATGATAGACAAGTGTCGCTCAATCCTATTTATACACAACCATAGCCTTTGATCTGTGTATGTGGCACATACACAGAGAGCCAGGGGCTAGAGTTTCACCAAACTAGTAACAGTAGTTTCTGGATATAGGAATTAAAGTACTTTTAACTTTCATTATACTCTTTTCTATTATTTGAATTTTATACGCTGAACACACACGATTATTGTGGAAATAATTACTTTAAAACAGGTATCACCCCAAGGAAAGTGGTTTGCTGACCAGTGACAGCCTGAACTGTCTGGGAGTGGCTTGTGGGAATGCCCTCCCAATGAGCATTTTTGGGAGTGTACTGGAGGTGCCAGGACTAGAGGGGTACACTTTTCTGTGTACCCATGTGGCAGTGCCTTAGACCTGTCCTCTGAGGCCATCTGAGCCTGTCTCTTGGTCAACAGTCATCCTGGCAGTCGTCCCTCTCCATTGCCCCATGAAAGCTATTGTCATCTTACAGACATCCTTTGGCATAGGTGGTGAAAGTGGGCTTCCTGTTCCCAAGAGCCCTGGGTACCAGTCCATCCCATCCGTGCTCCCTAGGTCACCTGGTCTCTAATTTAATGCCCTGGTCTGAGAAGTGGGGACAGTGGCAGCTCCATCAGCCTGTACGGGAAGGCTCAAAGTATTGATGCTTGAGGAGCACATGAGGCAGTGCCTGTGTGCTGTTAGAATGACTTCTTAGCGGACAAAATCTAGATTTGGGGACAGTGGCTTTAATCAGCTCAGCAGGGTGTTGGCCACTGCATGTCAGTGTTGGCCACTGCTGAAGGGCAGTACATGCCTGCCTGGGCCTCGCAGCAAGTGTGAAAATCATCATTTTTCCCATGTAGGTGGAGTTCTGCAAGTCCTTTGGGGACCCAACGAAGCCCCGAGCCTGGAGCAAACATGCCCAGAAGCCGAGCCAGTCCAAGCAGCAAGACTCCGTTCCCCCAGACACTAAGAAAGTATGCAGGTGGTCCTCCCATCTCAGTGTCAGCTGGGTGGTCACTTGCTGGGAGGGAGGCCAGTATCTTTCTTGGATAGTTCCAGAAGGTGGGTGACCCCAGGGCAGTGCACTTCCATCTCCCCTCCCCATCATTGATGTGACCCTCCGTGTCCCTTCTGCTTTTAGGACAAGAAGAAGAAAAAGGTGCCAAATGACCTGGAGAAGGTAAGAGTTGAGTGGATGATAGGGAAGGTCACATGGGGTGAGAGGATGGAGGGCCAAGGAGGTCAGGCTGTCTAAACCCTGCCTTACTCTTCTGCTTCCTCCCCACACTTGTACCTGCCACAGCTGAAGGAAGATGCCGAGTTCCAGGAGTTCCTATCAGTTCATCAGAAGCGGACCCAGGTGGCCACTTGGGCGAATGATGCCCTGGATGCTGAGCCCTCCAGGGGGAGGATCAAGCCAGCCAGTGACTATCTGAACTTTGACTCTGACTCGGGCCAGGAGAGTGAGGAGGAGCCAGCCAGGGAGGAGCCTGAAGGTGAGGGCACATCCCTACTGCACACAGGCCTATGCCTGGCCTCATATTGACAGGCATTGGAGCTTTGGTGTCAACAACAGAAAAGAGCCAGCCAGGTGCTACCCTCCAGCTGTCTTGGCCACAAGCATCCACACGCAGATGTGACTGCTCAGGCGGGTCTGGTCACTTACTCAGCCTGCCATTGACTCTACGAATATTCACTAGTATGGGCATTATACCAGGCACTGCTTTGGGGACTGGGGCCATGGCAAAGAGCAGAAGACAGGTGTCCTCATGCCTGTGGAGCAGGCATGCTGGTGAGAGCAGAGAGACAGCAGTAAGTGCACAGTAGATGGTGTCTGGTACAGGCATGTTGAGGAGGAGGCAGGACTAGAGCATAGGAAAGCTTTCTGGAAGCTGCTGTGGAAGAAGGGAGGGGTCTTGTCTTCATGGGCTCAGGTGTGGCTGTTAAGTAGGCAGTCACAGCCAGAATCCCAGTGCTGTGGTCCACAGTCATGCTGGCTTACAGGTAAGGATGAGTGTGTCACAGCTTAGGCCTGCTAAAGCAAAGGCTCTGATAAGTCGAGCTCCAGAGGACTTGTGGGACTGAGGATTGGGAGGCAGGAAGGTGCAGGAGCTGGAGAGACACAGCGTAGTTATGGGGACTGGAGCAGGAAGAGATGGAGCTAGGAGAAAGGGTCAGGGACCTCAGGCAGGGCTGAGGGGTTTGGACTTTATCCTAAGCACAAGAAACCACTGAAGGGTTCTGAACAGAGTGACAGGCCCACAGTGTGCTCAGAGGGTCACTCAGGCTGTAGTGTAAGGTGACCGTTCTCTGCTCAGCCAGGCTTCCCTGATAACTCGTCCCCATTTCCCGCTTCCTCTCCATAACTCTTGTCATCAGACAGTGTCATACAGTGTCCTTTTAATGCAAAGTGCGCCATAGTACTGCGCCAAAGTGCAAAGGACACTGAGTACCGGGGATGCAGAGTGCCAGGTTGCAGGACGAGCACATGCACACATCTAGTGTCCAGCATGGACCGTCATCGACTCCCATGCATAGTGTGGGGTGTTGCTGAACGGGTAAATGGTGCAACTCCTGCTGCAGGAGGAAGGTGGGGTTGTGTGGGTAAGGGGTTTTTCCTTAGTTTGCAGATCCCTTTATATGTCACATGTTGTGAGCATAAAGGGGGCTGGAGAAATGGTACAGCAGTTAAGCGGGTCCTGTTCCAGGGGACCTACTTTGGTTCTCAGCATTGGACGGCACACAGCTACCTGTAACTCCAGGTCCAGGGGATCTGGCCCCTCTGACCCCCTTGAGCACCTTTACTCTCAAGCATATACCCACACAGATATAGACACATAGTTAAAAATAATAAAAATTTTCAATAAAAGAAAGCGGGGCTTGAGGAAGACAGGATGGTGGTAGAGGACCACGGAGCTCTTCATGTGTGACACACAATACACATGCCACATGGTGTGGCTGTCCTGAGGGGTTCTTTGGGGTTACCAGTGTGTGAGGCCCAGAGGGTGTGTCACCTCTGGCCATGCACAGGTTTAGGGAAGCTCCCCTTGGCCTTTTCAGGTGCCTGCTCTGCTCACAAAGGTTGCTGACCCCTATTTCTCCAGAGGAGCAAGGCCAGCAGCCAAAGGCGGCAGTCCAGAAGGAGCTGTCCGACATGGACTACCTGAGATCCAAGATGGTGCAGGCACAGGTGTCCTCCTCTTCTGAGGGTGAGGATGAGGACAGTGAAGATGAGGCAGTGAACTGTGACGAAGGCAGTGAGACTGAGGAAGAGGATTCCCCTGCTGCCCCAGTCCATCAGGAGAGCCAGGGAACCATGCCCGGGAGCCAGAGGCCTCAGGTAGCTGCTGGGGCGGGTCGGTGTCTCTGTGTGTGTGTGTCTGTCTGTCTGTCTGTCTGTCTCTCTGTCTCTCTGTCTCTCTGTCTCTGGGCCTGGCTTGGCCAGGGTCTCTGCAGCCCCCTCCTTAGGAGTGTGACACAGAGGAAAGGCCGCTTGCCCACAGGGTATCCTCCTGACTTATATCCCTATACTGGCCTGGGGAGGCTCCCTGGTTCCAGAGCTGTGCAGTTTAATTGAGCTGGCTGGTCCTGCCTTGTGTTTAGCAGCACGAGGATACAGGTGGGTAAGCTTATCATTGACAGAAACATAAGGTCAGTGCATGCTGGGTAGGTAACATTGCTGGCAAGTCACTGAATCTCGTCAGTCTCTGCACTGCTGTGGAAACATCCAGAGATGAGCAGTGGCTCACCCAGGGTCACAGAACTCAGAGCCAGCTCTGCTAGGCCCTGAAATTGAGGTTATAAAGATGGCTGAGACCTTGAGGACACCTCCTAGTGTCCCGACAGGGGGTCCTCTGCAGAGACAGGCCACTTAGACACATTGGGTGGGGCTGTTCCCTCACCAGGAGCATGGCCTCTCCTGTGCTCTTCACTTTCAACCAAAAGGACAGGCCTGGCCTCCTTTCATTTGCTGCCTGTTCCACTCAACTTGTCCTGTCCGGGTTATATGGCAGTTCCCATCCCAGCTCTAACCCTTCGTGACTATCACCGTTGGGTAAGATGTTTCTACCCCGCAGGCCTCTAATCTCCACCTTCTTGTGACATTCTTTACAGTGTGTGTCAGTCCCTGCATTGCTGGGATTTGGGCCATTCTTCCTCAGGATGGTGACCATACTGTCTTGCCCCACAGGGTCTAGCAGCACTGTGTAAGCCAGTGGTCATACAGCTAAAGCCAAGGCAGCCCTTGGGATACATGTGGTAAAGCAGTTAGGTGGTACATAGCAGCCCAAGACTGGCTTTTTCCAGAAGAATTCTAGTGAGGGCAGGTTTGGGCACCTAAGGAGAAACCAAGATCAGGGGTTCTTTGGAGTTGTTTGACTTCCTGAACTGTGGTATCCTAAGTTCAGCATGCCGGTAGAATTGTGCTAGATACTATAAATTGCTGGGCAGTATGTGGCACAGGGCAAGCCCTGCCTTAGTGGTAGCTATAGCCCCTTCTGGGGACCAGCAGCCTCTGTGGATGTGCCGTGACTTACCTAGCTCTGCATGCAGCCCTCATCTCCAGCACAGTAAAGACTCCACAGCTGCAGCTTCCTTCTCCATCCAGGCTCAGCTTGCAGCAGGCACAGATACTTGGGGATTTCTCTAGCTCCCCTGGCTGCAGGCACTTCTTCGAACACCAGGGTGCCCCTGCCACCTCCTGCCACAGGTACCAGGCACTAACCATGGCCATTTTCTCTTTGTGATCACTCAGGTTGAGAAACCAGTCAGCCAGAAGGAGCCCACCACACCCTACACTGTGAAGCTACGGGGAGCCCCATTCAACGTCACCGAGGTTTGTGTTCACTGTGCACTGGATGGAGAGAAGGGAGTGTGGGGGTGCCAGGGTCAGGCAAGGCCCTGAGCTAGATGGAATGGAACTGAAAAGTTCCTCAGGCACTAAGACAGGAGATGTCTAACATTCCCTGACATCTGCCCCAGGGTGGATAAAAAGGGATGAGCCATGGGGCTGGAGCGATAGCTCAGTGGGTAAAGTGTTTGCTGAACAGACACACACTGGGGACCTACGTTCAATCCTCAGAACTCACTTAAGAAATTCAGCAGTTGGTGGCATGTGTCTAGAATCCCGGTGCTGGGGAGGCACAGACCGGAGGAGGTCTGAGGCTCGCTGGCTAGCCGGTACAGTCTGCTTAGTGAGTTCCAGTCCAGTGAGAAATACCGTCTCAACAAACAAGGTGAACAGTGCCTGAGGAATGACACCCAAGGTTATCCTTCTGCCTCCCTGCACACATGTATACACCCACACACATTTGAACATGTACACACACGAAGGGATGGAGCCTGCTGGGAAACAAAACCCTGAGAGTCAGTATGGCCCTTGTGGCTCCCCAGCCCTGCTTTGAGCAAGGAAATAAAGCAAATGGGGCTGCCAGTGCTCCAGTAAAACTTTATTTGCCAAACAGGGACCAGCTTTGGCCCATTGGTCTGCTGGCTGTGGGTGGAGAGTAGCAGAGAATGGTTTTAATTTCATGAAAGCTACAGAAGTTCACAGAAAATTCAAGAAGGGCTGAAGCACAAGAATGTCCAAGTCTCCTTGATGAGGATGACCCTGTAAGTTTCAGTCCACACTAAGCTGAGAGTGTGGGGCACCAACTAGCTGGGGGCTAAGACACTGCTGTAAGTACTGTAGGTGTCCTACCTCAGACTGAATGCAGCTGGGCAGCCACACTAGTGGCCCCGTGGTGATGCGGATACTTTTGGGGCATATATTCACTAGTGGTTGTTTTGCTTTAAAAGTGTATGTGCCTGCATACATGTGTTCAAAAGAGGAGACTGGATTCCTTGGAGCTGGGAGCTGTAGTTAGAGTCCTCTGGTATAGGTGCTGGGAACCAAACTAGGTCCTCTTGCAAGAGCAACAAGTGCTCTTAACCACTGAGCCAGTGTTTTTCTTCATGTGTAAACAGTGACTTCTGCCTTATTTTTAAAGTATGCCTTCTGTAGGCGCTATTTTGAAACCTTCTCCCCCTCCTCAAAATATGTTATGACCCACCTGTGTCTTGCGCTGTCCTAGTTACTGTCTGTTGCTAAGATAAATAACTATGACCAAACAAACTTGGGGAGGAAAGGCTTTATTTCATCTTATACTTCCAAAGCACAGTTCATCTTTAAGGGAAGTCAAGCAGGAACTTGGGGCCAGGAACCGAGTTACAGACCATGGAGGAACACTGCTTACTGCCTTGCTCCTCTGGCCTGTGCTCAGCCTGCCTTTTTATGATGGCCCAGGCTTGGCATCACCCACAGTGGACTGGGCCCTCCTGTTTCACTCAGCAATCATGAAAATGCCTCACAGACATCAGACATGACTCCAGGCCAATCCAATAGGGGAAAAACTGCAGTTAAGTTTACCACGTCCCAGAGGTGTCACGTGGGCAGCTGGAGCTCTAGTACATGTGCTCTTCCTTGAATGCGCTTTGACATGCTGGGACCTGGAGCAGAGTTCCCTTTTTTTTTTATTAACTGTTGGAAGTAGTAATGCAGCTCTTTGTATTGGTCATGGGGCCAGCAGACTTTTTCTAGAAAGTTCAGATAGGAAGTATCTGTCACTCATAAATAATCTGTTATACGTTCTTTTATTGTTTTCTTTTCCTGTCTCTGAGGACAGGTTTTTTTTTTTTTTTTTTTTTTTTTTTTTTTTTTTTTTTTTTTTTTTTTTTTTTTTTTTTTTTTTTTTTTTTTTTTTTTTTTTTTTTAAAAAAAAAAAAAAAAAAAAAAAAAAAAAGAGGACGATAAATCTTTCACTGTGATATATCAAAATAA